ATATATATATGCATGCAGATATCCATGATGTCTGAGCATGCAATGTTCCTACCAGATTCACCCAATTTTCCCTCTAATGTCCTGAGTAACACATCCAAGGTCACATTTTTGGGACAAGGCTGAGATCAGAACCTGAGCCCACTGACACTGGGTAGTAAATGACACTGTGCTGCCTCTGCCATGCAATCCAGTGCTTGGTGCCTGAATAGGGGGGCACAATCTTACCCATGGAGAGATGACAACACATCATTCACTTACTATGTGGTTATCATAACTATTCTTTTTACTGAATTGCATAAATTCCATCATCTACCACAAATTCTTCTATAAACCTTCATTACCTCTCAGTTAATCGGGTCACATACATGACTTACTTTGTGAGTCTTCAAGATGCTCCAGCAACCATCATGGTTGGCAAAGAAAGTCATTCTACTTAGCAATATTCAGTGTATTGAGTAGATGGACAGTTAACTTCATGGCTAAGAATGCTGATAGAAACTGGCATTGCTTCCTCTTCTGGTTCATGTAACTGTTAATATTAGTTATAACCGGAGCTGACATTGTGCCACACTCAGTGCTAAGAACTTAATATTCAGCATTTTAGTTAGTTTTACTCTATGAGTTTACTACTATTACAGAGTAATAGCAGAATTCAGAGAGGTTAAAGTAACTTGCCTCAAGGTTCTCCAACATGCAGCAGACAGCAAAGCTAGGCTCTAAACTCAGGCAATGATGCCTCAAAGTTTTAAAAATCTGTGAGCACTTTTACTTCCAGAGTTGGGGGAGATATATCTGTCCTCTTACATAGATAGTTGTATACAGGTAATAGCACCTCTATTTAGAGATTCTGGGGAAGTTTAGGTGAGGTGGCCATTTTCACAAAGGAGAAGCACCAACATTCAGTTTCCAGGTAGTAATGAATTTACTCAATTATTCCACCACTCATTGATGTAAGTTGTCAGGCTATACCAAGAAAATAATAGACTTGCAGTTTTATGGGCTTACTGTCCAAAGAAATATCAAACCCAGAAAGTTTAGTGGTTTTTAAAATCCAACAAGGCATGCAGAACTTTGAATACTGGATGATAGGGTCTGTGGGACAAAAGCAAGAGCAATGTGTGTTTTAAAAAAAGTAATAAATGAATAGATAAAACATGAGAGAAACATTAGTAGATAAATAAGATTTAAGCAAAAGAGATAATAAAAGAGAGTAGGAGTCAAGAAACCACAGTGCTTACCTCCAGCAAGGGGTGCCAATGTGTTATGGGTTTTCGGTGATAGGCCAGCATTTCATTCCAGTGGTCTCGCCCCAGACCCTCAGCGTCCAGTCCTGTTCTACACACTCCTATGACCTCATTGTGTCCTACCCTATGATTCAAAGAATATCACACTTTCACCCCAATATTCAAAGATAAATGGACTTTCACACATCGCAGCAGGATTTTAAGCATAGGATTAAAGCCCAAGATTTTGTGACAGGCTCCAGATGATTTTGCAGATTAAACTACTTCAGGTGAAATGAAAAATCTTAAGCAAACAAAAATTTACTAAACAGGATCAGCATTCAAAGATGAATTTATAAAAGGAGCACACAAACACACCATTTTAGTGCTCTGTAACTGGAGCACATTTCACAGTAATACAAATAGTGTGAATGAGAAATACCAGCTGGTCCTATATGATGAGTTTCTTTCTTGGAAACAATCCTATTAACTTTAAATGATGTAAATCGAATCTCATTCTTTCCACAAGGCTTAATATTTTATGACAATGCTTAGGTTTCTCAGTACGAGCACAATACTCACTTTCTTGTATAAATGACCATATTTACTAGACTTTAAATGATGTGTCAGTGAATGATATGCTTTAACAGGGCAGGGCTATATTCAGTGACACAGCACTTAATTTATTATTGCATAGCACCAGACCATACTACACAATCTTCCCGTTTTCTATTCATGTCCTGTATCATGGCAACAAATCAAATATAATAATAAGAGTCAACATTTTTTTAGAACTTATTATGTGCCAGACACTGTTCTAAGTAATTTAAATGTATTGACTCACTTAATCACACCATGGCCATGAGTATCATTATCATCATCTCATTTTACAGATCCAGGAACTAAACGCCCAGAAGTCTGGGGACCTGAGCCTCCCTTTACACACTTAGTAAGAGGCACACGCAGGATTTGAATCAAGACAGTTAACTCAAGTATGCAAGTGGTAAGTTGCTTCTCAAAAATGGAATGTAATTTAACCTTTAGAAAATAACCTTTTTAAAGGTTATTTTGATAGACGTCTCTAAGGAATCTTTGAGATGATCTCAGGAAATTTCATTCCTTTCTTCCTGTCACGGATATAGCTATGTATAGTTAGTATCATCTTCCTCAGTATGAAGTTTCCCAAACAAGCATAATTTTAGAAATAAGTATTTTTTATCTTTCTGTTTTATATATTGTCAGGATCCATTTCCCTGAAGTTGTTTGGGTGACAAATGCTCAATTGAATCTACCCGCCATCACTGTTGTGGGAAATCAATAGAAGTCATTATTTGGTCAAGCAGAATAAGGGCTTCCAAAGAAAACATTACAGCATTTTTAGAGTTTAAAATTTCAACTAATTCAATTCAATCTGTCTCTCTATCTCTCTCTCTAATGATAGCTTTTGCTTTGTAAACTGTGATATAAACTAATTTCAAATAGATGGTCCAGATCATTTGATTTTTCAGTGCTTCAGTTTGCTAGCTGAGCCAGAGGACATAGCCTATTCATTTCTCCTGGTTATAGAAGCCTGGGTCTACCATTTTCATGGCACTTCAGATATTCAAAAGGATACCTTTCTTGAACATTTCTATATGCATGTTCTGTAGCACTTCTGATATCATTAGGACAAAAGAAATGTAGTAAGGCACTGTCTATATGCTGATAATTTTGTAGGTTAAATATACAGTATTCTTTTCCAAAAGGTTTATAAATATAAAAAGAAAAACAATAAAAAGAAGTATATAGCGAGGACCAAAGAA